ACTATGTTATCTGGATGATATAGTATGTGGTTGTACCACTATGGAATGAACTAAGTTAAGGCATGATGAATGGATGAAAGGGATGTTGGAATGTATTATATGTTTATTGTGCTGGGACAGGTTAAAAATGCGTTTAAACAGGTTGTGGTAGGCCCATTTTTAGGGGAGGTTATGCTGAATTTTTTTTAAAATTTTGGCATCAGCTAGGGTTGTTACACCTACAAGACTCAAAAAATTAAAGTCACATTGTCAACTCAGACATCACTTATAAAATTGGCCTCAGACCATTTTTTTCAGAAACCATGCAAATGTCTGTACATTCAAAACAGGCCACAAGAAAAAAAGGTGTCTACAATTTAATCCACCCTCACCTTCTATCACATTCAAACCATACTGATTTAATAAAGGAAATTCTGTATTTATCTTTTATTGTTTTCCATTTACCTTAAAATGATCCATATATAACACTATCTCCTTTTCTATAATTTATTAGAAAATTGTTTGGCATATGAAATAACTGACTCAATCAAATCTCACTCTTATGGGGCTTCCACTTTTTTTCTTTCAGCAAGTAAATGAATAACTAAATAAAGAATCTCACTCTTATGAGGCTTCATTGATGGTTTTTTAATACTTAAGTGCCTTCTAATCATTAATTGGCTTTACAAACATAAAAAAAATTGACATCTTCAAGTATGTAACATAGTTAGAAATCGTCAACCTAAAAACCAAAAAAAAAAAAGAAGGTATTATCATCAACTTCAGGCTTCAAGGGTCTGCATAATGATTTTAGTCAAAATAAATAAATAAATAAAACTATATGCTGATTTTGGTGTTGCCTTCGGGTGTCTTAACAATGCCAAACTTATCTTCTTCGTCAGGAACTTGACTTGGTTCTTCATTACCAATTAGTGGAGAGGAATGTCCTTTTAAAATTTAATTAACTCATATGATCAGTTAATGGTGAATTGAGTGTAAAATCAGCCAAACAAGAGGCTTCAAAAGATTCTACTTTTAGGGTGGGTGAAAGTAGCAGTAGCCAAGATAAGAAACAACAGTGGGTTGGTGTATGGAATCTTAAAGTAAATTCTTAGGTGAAACATCTTATTTGGAGAAGTTTACATGATCAAGCAGCAGTGCTGGAAAATTCGATGTCCAATTGTGGGTTGGAACCTGAGTCCTTGTTTACAGGTTGTGTAAGTGTCATTCCAAAGGTGGAATCTTCCCTAGTTGTACTTCTATTTCTTGTGTCTCGTATCTTTTCTATCAACAAATAAAGAAAACTAACTTCTCAAGAAATTGAATCAACACATAGACAAGCGTATAGAAATGACAACAAGGCCTAATATGCCCTAATTAGGAATTAGTCCTCCTCCTAGCTACGTCACATGCATTACTTATTATTTACTTAGCACAATGAAAAAGAAAAAATGTTAAATTAGGTAAAACTATAAGTGTCCTTAATCAGATGAACGTATAACTTCCAGTAAAAAAAATGTTCTAATAGAGTTCCATTTTTATAATTTCTAGTAAAATTTGTTCTTAACCTAATATGCCATATAGTATATAAAAATTCAGTCAAAAACTTAACCAAGGTCCAAGCTAAATAGTTACAGAACATTGTTAGACAAGAGAAAAGTTGATGCTCAGCAGAAGGCAGAGGAACATAGACCAGAAGGGGTGTGCCATTTTGAAGGCTCCACAGTGAAGCAGGTGGTGCTTCGTTGATCAGAAATGGTCGGCATGGTGTTGTCCTTCAAATGGCTACTTTTCTCTTTTATCCAGTCAATGATGCTTCTATGGCAGAGGCCTTGACATTGAGGAGACCTTTGTGTTTAGCTATGGAATGGGGTATAATAGAGTCGTATTTGGAAGTGATGCGGAAGTTATTGCCAATGCTATCAACAAGATAATCTCATCTCATGTGTTACTAGCTTCTGTTATAGAAGAATCTCATTTTGATTTTTCAGTTTGTTTTGCGCCTTGGGAAGCTAATGGAGTTCTCTTATAAACAAAACTGAAAAAGAGTGCAACTTTAAATTTCCTTTATGTATTTTGAAGCTGTGTCTTCTGATGTAACTGTTAGTTATTAATATATCATCATTTTGCTTTGTGAAGGAAAAAAAAAAAAAAAAATTAGCCGTCATCTAATTCAGTTGGGGAGTTTAGCATTTTCCTCTCACAATAACATTTAAAGCTTAAAACATACTTCATGAGAAGCAGATGTTTTGGGGAGAAAGTTACTTACTTCAGCTGAGATCCTTAGCAAGGCCCTTGATCAAAAGCAAGCCTGAAAATGGTTCGGAAACTCGCTTCTGGACTGATAAATGGCTGCAAGAAGGCCCTCTGATCCTCAAATACAGCCACTTGTTGGTGCTTCCTTCCACAAACTCTTACCCATTTCCCTTCCCTGAGCTCTCCTCCATTTTACCTCCATCACCCATCAGGTTAGTTCTTCACTCAGACATACTGTCGAGCACCTATCCCGCATTCAATTCCCTTCTCCATCCACAACCCACTCCCATCTTTTCTTCTTTGGTTTTTTGTTCAACCTCCATGTGTTCTTCAACCTCCGGATTAGCACTCCTTCCCACCTCTGAAAAGCTATAAAAATTGCCAAATGACATGAACAAAGTTTGAGTTCCGTTATTTATTTATTTATTTTTTATATATATATAGAACGGTTTTTTTATATATAGAACGTTTTTTAATATCAGAAGCTTACAACATTTACAGGGGTGAGAGTGGTGAGACGGGAAGTGACATTGGATTCCGCCTATGCTTGTTTAAAGAATTTTTGGCAAGTGTCTTAAGCATATCCCACATTCAGTTCAGTTCATTCAATGGCTTGCTATTACACAGTAAATGTTATTAAAATAATAAATATCATATATACAGTAAATGTTATTAAAATAATAAATATCATATATATAGTTAGTGTATTAAAATAATAAATATTATACATTGTTTAGTCTTCATTTGTTTTTTAACACCGAAGATGTAGCGTTTAGTGTATAAATTTTTATAAAATGTGTATATACATCGGAGCATAACAATTGGTGAAAAGAACAGAACTTTTGCTGGCTAGTTTTATTAAAATGTCATACGCTGGCTATCTGTGCTTAAAAAAGGGCCCTTTTTGAAGGTTGTCAACTAAAAAAATTAATAAATAATAAATAAAAAATTTTGAAAGTCATGTTGTCAACTTTGAAATCACTTATAAAATTGGCTTCAGATGAGACCAATGATTTGTGTAGAGAAGTCTAGAAAGTTCCCGGTCCATGCAGGTTGTCAGGTCATCTTTTGTTGGGCGTCTGCGTGATACCTGCGTGGCGTAACCTGTTGTTGCGGGCGTGACATTAAGCTTTGTTGCTCAACTCTAGTCCTAAACATATTTCACACTCAGTTCAGTTCATTCATTCTATGGGTTGCTATTACAAAATAAATGTTATTAAAATAATAAATATTATATATTAAAATGATAAATATTATATATATATATATTTTACCGTGGACAATGATGGTGCTGAACTTCTTAGAGCACTTAATAATTTACCACTGAACATATGCAGTCTCCAAGTGTGTATAATTTTTTACAGATTGTATATACATAATACATAGCAAGCTCAGTAGCATAACAATTGGTGAAAAGAAGAAAACTTTTGTTGACTGTTTGTATAGATAATGTATTGCATGTCCACATGTTTTATACAGTATGAATTATGTACAAAATATCTAGGGGTAGCATATTTGACATCTTATTAATTTTTAAAATATATTTCAAATTCTTCATTATCATTCGATTAGGTGTCATTTACGAAATAATTGTATACCCACTTATGTCCTTACAAAAACTTAAATCCCTCCACCTTCTACTAATTATCAAGCTAGTTTTATTAAAATGTCGTAGGTTTGGCCATCTGTGCATAAAAAAAGGGCCCTTTTTGAAGGTTGTCAACTAAAAAAATTAATAATAAAAAGAAAAAAAAAAAATGAAAGTCACATTGTCAACTTAGAAATCACTGATAAAATTGGCTTCAGATGAGACCAATGCTGATAAAACTGCAGTTGTGATTTGTATAGAGAAGTCTAAAAAGTTCTCGATCCATGCAGATTGTCATGTCATCTTCTATTGGACGTCTACGTGGTACCTGCGTAGCATAACCTCTTGTTGCAGGGCGTGACATTAAGCTTTGTTACTCAACTCTAGTCCTAAGCATATCCCACACTCGGTTCAATTCATTCATTCTATGGCTTGCTATTACATAGTAAATGTTATTAAAATAATAAATATTATATATATAGTAAATATTATGTATTAAAATGATAAATATTATGCATTTTTTTTTTTTTTAGTGGACAATGATGGTGATGAACTTCTTAGAGCACTTAATAATTCACCACGGAATACATGCAGTCTCCAAGTGTGTATAATTTTTTACAAATTGTATATACATAGCAGGCTTAATTACATAACAATTGGTGACAAGAAGAAAACTTTTGTTCACTCGTTTGTATAGATAATGTATTGTATCTCCACATATTTTATACAATATGAATTATGTACAAAATATCTAGGTGTAGCATATTTGACATCTTATTTGAATATTCACAATTAATTTCTAAAATATATTTCAAATTCTTCATTATCATTGGATCGGGTGTCATATATGAAATAATTGTACGCCCACTTTTACCTTTATGAAAAGTCTCACTCTCACCCTCGACTTTGTACTTTAAAAGACGAAAAAATACAATAGACTTTAAAAGGCCCTTGGTACATATATTTGATATTGACATCATAAATTTTTTGAAGGTTGTGATTCCTTGGTCCTTAGAACAATTGGTGGAAAATATTAATGCTGTATGTGAATCTCTTGATAAATGTACCTTCAAGCTTACTCCAAGCTGATGGTCACTGCTAGTTTTATTAAAATGCCATAGAGATTCGCTATCTGTGCTTAAAAATGGGCCCTTTTTGAAGGGTGTTCTAACCATCCTACCAAACTAAAAAATTAATAATAATAAATAAATAAAAATGAAAGTCACAATGCCAACTTAGAAATCACTGATAAAATTGGCTTCAGATGAGACCAATGCTCTGATAAAACTGCAGCTACTATGATTCAATATTATTACTGTGACTTCTTATCAGAGCCATAAATGTATAAACGATTGACTCATACAACCTAACACTTCATCAGGAACATTTGTGATCGAAGAAGGAATTGTGTTCTCTTCCAAAGAGGGTTCTGCTTCGTCTGCAGCAGATGATCCTCCGCCAAACTTCATCTCCTTTCTTTTAGACAGGTCTTCTACGGCCGAGTCTTCACCTATCAAGAAACTGCAGAAACAAGAACGAAATCTATAGAAAAAAACTGCTCAATTGGCATACCATAACATGACAGCGGCTACTGATTGCCTCAATCCGGTTAGGTAATAGGAACAAAGAAGCCGAAAACAGACTCTACATCCTTCTCTTCAGAATCATTTTTTAAAGCAATTATAAGGGCGAAGAAAACATAACATTTATCTGCTTCTGCATATATTGCAGACTTGCATCCTAATTCACCTGAGAAGAGAAGGATTCAAATCATTAGAAGAACTTAACTGGCATTAATCTTATCTGTGCATGCACCGCTATATTTCCTGTACAAATGCCATCCAAACTGGACTTTCATATATACAAGCTAGCAATACAAGAGATCATAGTCATGAGTACAAGTTTGCGAACCTCGTTACATCTTTTCCCAGAGATATTTGTTGGTACAGGAGTTCCTTTCTAACGCGTGATAAATTAAGGATGACATCTAATAAAATCACCACCGGTGGCTGCATCATAGCACCTGAGCATGATCTTTCAATACCAGTCAATTTACTACCCTTTTACTTCACTGTATGGAAGTCTATAAAGCATCTAGGAACTGACAGATCAGAAAATAGCAAAATGACACCACTGCAGTGTAGGGTAAGACTGAAATTTCTGATATTCTAGTGCTGGAGAGTCCATATTCACAGAACTGAATTTGGTGCAAAATCTGAGGACCATAAAGTTTCAATATCTGGGCTGCAAAACTGTTGCCAGCAGATTGTTTGATCCCCATCTGCATAAGACCATCAATTAAAATGTCAAAATGGTTGCACAGCATGGCATTTTAATGAAGACAACTTTCTATAAAAATATGCAACAGTGTCAACAGAATTCAATGCTTCTTTCACTTTATACTACATGTTTGATTGGGGAAAAACAAGTAACGCAAGCCACAATATCAGTAAGCAGCACTGCAGTAGCTTCACCACCTATCAACACTAAAATGACCATCCAAAATGTCTAAAAAAAAATAAATAAATAAAATAAAAGGACCAATTAATTGTATCAGAGATTCATGTGATGCTGCATGAGATGACTGACATTCCCTATCCATGGGCACTTATGCAGTGTATGTACATGATATGATATGAACACTCTAATATGACAAATTGTGTACTACAGTGAGACATGGAAAAATATGTAAATGTGCTGTATGTATTTAAAAATGTGTGAATATATGCACGTATACAACTACAAATATATTTGTTTATCACATATTTGTAAATGTGGATGTAAAAAAACTAAAAGATAATTGTTTTGTCATGTTACATATTTTATGACAAACAAAAACATGACAGGAAAACTTAGCCAATAAAATATTAGGACAAGCAATCATAATTTTCATGAATCCATGAAATATCCTATACTTCTAACTCATGGTAGTCAAATTCAAATGAGGAAAGTGAAGTTTATGTTCCACAGATATGGACTTTGAACAAAAATAGACATATCTACCCCAATTTATCAATTATCCTTCTCTTCTCTAGGAAATAATCTAAGTATTTAACCTTTATCATACTTCTAAGAATTATACCATGATGCCACATGAAATGTTGTGTCTCAATGTTCAACATGTTGGACAAGTGTGCTGGAATGTCCAAGTAATTTTAAAATATATATATATATATTGATTTTCCATCAATTTTTGGGGGTATTTAGGAAGTATTGAATATGTATCTGTTGTGAGTTTGTCTGATACAGTGGGTGCATTTAGTAAGGATTGGATTTGTGTCTGCTGTGAGTTTGTCTGACACAGCTCTGTCATTGAAGTATCCATACTTCGCAGCTGGTTCCCACCCTTTATTTCTCTAAATATATCTCCTATTTACAATATAAGAGTTGTTCCATTTAAAATTCATTTCCCACATTACTCCAAAATAGCTCCTTTTTTTGTTTTTTACACTCATTTTGGCCAGCACATTACAGAATTTTCACCATGCATACAGATTCAAAAGGTAATTTTCTGCCACAAAACATTCCTGCAAACTATGCTACAAACGTTGAATGTGGATGAACATCTAGTTATGAAGAGAGCATCTGAATAGATCAGGAGAAAAAAAAAAAAAAAAAAATGCACATTTTGTTCCTAGCTGCCTGTTGTGGGACCTAAATTTTCTGAATACTTGCATCCGCCAAGTGTTTACTAATCTCTCAACCTTTTAGAGCCTTCAAGTGATATGAAAGATTCTTCTTGTTGGCATAGCTATATATATATATATATATCACCCTAAGCATATACCACTTACAAGAACTAACAAGCTGCTCTTAAATAGGAAATTAAATGACAGCATCACATGATCAGTGGCTTCACCACTATCTACACTATGGTATAATTCATAATCATCTAATAGACTCAGGATTTAGTTTACTTTTACTCAATGATTATAAATGGGCATTGACCTTGCATTTAAGGGCACAGAAGAAAACCACTAACAGCATTTGCTCAGCAAAACGAAACCTAAGAAACATGACAGCCTTGGAAACCTGCCATCTCAAGGAGTCAGTGCACCGTACTTTCAACTAGACCAGTCTTCCAGGGATTCTCACCATACTACATGTAAGTTTGTAACACCTCCACTACCCGAATTATCGTCTGGGACCTACATTAGGATATCAATTACAATCTGAAATACAAGTTCTATTTCTATCCTAACAGTATTTCCAAACTGCTCAATTTGCCGAAGTGAAAATAAATAAATTTTCCTATAGACGAAAAATACCAAAAAGGCCCTAAAAGATTTTCAATCCTAAAGTTTATGAAAAATATTTGTGCATGCAAAAACCATTTCCATACTTAAATGAGTTCAGAGAGCATGTAGTCACTCAAGGTAGCCATCCTATATAATCACAATGCAAACTCTTTTAAGATATGCTTTGGCACGATGGGGGAGCATAAAGTCACTTGAGGGAGCCGTCCAACTTAATTACATTGCAAATTCATTTAAGGATCATGATTCACCATTTAATGGCCAAATCTTAATAGCTTAATGGCATATGAAATCAACAAAACAAGGAGGGTCCAAACATTTTATGTGCATCCTCATTTTCTTCAATACTTACAATTTTTTGAGTGTTCAAATCTAAATAGTACAAAACAGACACGATAATACATGGATATGCCAACACACGACCTAAAATAAGTGGACATGGACACAGCAATGACATTGCTATACATAAACACAAAATTTGTTCCTCTACATCTTTTTAAGTAAGACAAGTATAGAACTATAATTAATTTTTAATTTCCATACTAAGAGTTACATGACTTAGAAAGGAAACAAAACGAATATTGTAAAATTTATTATATTATATATGTTGCTATTTTTCTACATTTTCATTCCATATATTTTTTTATCCTATATGAAAAAAGTGTCACCGCAAGCTTGACTTGTGGTGACCATGTGATTTAGATTGAATTTTCCTGTGTGTGTGTGTGTGTACATTTGAGGTGTGTTCATATTATTTCCAAGATTGTCAAAACTATGCACCATGGACATTATTACGGGATACGGACAAAGCATAATACAGATATGGCGATATGGCAAATTCTTAATAAGTTACGGATATAGCAAGGATATGATAATATAGATTTATATATTTATATTAATTTAGATGTCGAATAATTAAAATATCTGTTGGAGAGGTATATTGCATGGACATATATTTTGAACAAAATTAGATATGATGTATTCTCATTACATCTTGTTGAAGGATTTAAGTATTTAAGATACACCCTCTCTAAGCTTTTAGAGTGGGTGGTAGTTAACTTGGTATTAGAGCAGGCAAGGTCCTATGTTCAAACCTCACCGTCACCTTGATAATTGTTGGACCAAAAGAAGGCCACACGTGAGGGGGTGTGTTGATGTTAAAACTAGACTCTCTCTAAAAGTTTAAAGAGTACATGGTAGTTAACACATCTCGAAACTTCTTTTTTTGAAAATCCTCTTAAGATATTCAGAAGAATTGTAATCCGAAATTACACTAGGAAAAATATATTTTCATATTAATGACGCTCTAAACATGCGTTCTTAAGTATTTGAAGTATTGGATATTTGACCAAAGTTTCTGAAAAGTATCATATACGCGTTCAATATAATAAAAACAAAACATATATATATATATATATGTACTATTTTTATCCGGCATGTATCCGTAAGTAAATGAGAAGTTTCCATATCCAATATTGATATGTGCCCTTTCAGACGTAATATGCTTAGTTGAGAGGTGAAATAGAGCAAATTTGGAGGGAATTTATGTGAATCTAAGTCGGATTCAATAGACATGAACTATATCTGACCCATATAACACAAGAAGGATCCTAATAAAGTAAAACATTCTTTTAATTGGGTCGAATCTCAACTTAAACCTGATCCATTTCATGTTTAACCATATATCTATATCCGACTCAGATTTATGATAGATCTTTCAAGGAAGATCCATATCTGACCTAATTTTAAATTCAGATTCAAAATTTAAAACCAAACTGTTGGTCTGAATTTCCAATTGCATCTTGGGCCAAACTCACTCCATTTCAAACCGTACTCATACTTGTCGGACATGGCTACTTTTAGATGTGTTTGTGTTGTACAACAAGACTTGTGTTAGGAAGTGTTTGAGATGTATTGGTCGATTTTCAGAATGTGTCAACAATGTTTCCAAAACTATTTTTAAATTATGAATATGTCAATGAAGTATCGAACACGTGTCAAGACTCTGTGACATGTCGGTGTCCAACACTTATCTGACACGAACACGATACCTTCGTAAAGTGTCTGTGCTTCTTAGGTTCCAACTTCCAATATAGCAAGTCAACCCAACTCAACAAGGCTTTTTCCAAATATTTGAATTCATTTACATGAACCATGTTTTGTTATTCCAAGTTATCTGACAGCCTCAGCTAAACCACATTATATCATCTCTCTTTTAACTACTTAATCCATGTTAGTTAGGTTTTCCTCTTCCCCAGTTATTAGCCATTGCTGCACATGGTCAAACAATATATTAATTGATTTTCTCTCATTTATCTCCACTTCTCCAGTTGGTGCTACTTCAACCATCTCAAAAACAAATTCCTTTCTAATTTAATCATTTCTTGCCATATCACAAATCCATCTAATTTTTCATTTCTTGTTTATGTCACAATTCCATCACAACATTCGCATTCCTGCTACACTCATTTTATAAATATATATTGTTTCTTAACTGCCCAAAACTGTCAAAGTTGAATATTCTAAGGATTCATATTCATATAATCTTGACAAAAGTGTCATGCTAGCTATCAAGCTACCTAATAATCCTCCAACCGAGTATGGCTGTAATCATCCTCCCAAGTTTTGTCATTTCTTGTTACGTCACAAATCCATCTAATTTTATCATTTCTTGTTATGTCACAAATCCATCACAACATTTGCATTCCTGCTACACTCATTTTTATTAATACATTGTTTCTTAACTGTGCAAAAGTGTCAAAGTTGAATATTCTAAATAATCCTGACAAAAGTTTTATGCTAGTTGTCAAGCTACCTAATAATCCTCTTCCCGAGTATGGCTGTAACCCTCCTCCCAAGTTTGGGACCAGCCATATAGACAAGACACTAAATACAAATGAAATTAATAAGATAAAAAAATTCATTATCACTATGCTTTGTGACAAAAAGATGCTTTCATTATATATATGATATCCTTAATGGAGACTATCAGATGCCGTTCTCCATCCTTACAAGAAGCATGCCA